GTCGCGGTTGTTGTTGGTTTCCCGGTTCAAAGAGCGGCCTGGGGACGCGGGGCGAGCGGGTGCGAAGCCGACCCGAACGGACGTTGGGTGTTGTTGCTTTGGGTTCTCTCCGAAAACTTGATGCGTCGTTTGAATAAATACCATTTCCCGAAGAGCCCGGGTTTGGCGGTGGTGAATTTTGAAAAACTCCAAATCTCATTTGAATGTGAAAAGTTAGAGGCAGGTTTCTGCGCCGGTGGTGTTTTTCAAGTTTTCTGTGAGACGGTGGTGATGATGGTGTGGACCCGGGCCGCTGCATCATCATCATCACCTTCACCTGGGCGCCTGCTAGGCTCCCGCACCTCCCTCCAGTCCGGCCCAGGAAACTGCAGGTGCGCACGCGCACTGAGTTCCAAACGCCGAGGCCCTGCCTTGATTCTACTGTTCAAATGAGCTTTGTCTTATTAAACGTGTAAATTCGTCGAGATCTGATACTTTTTCTTTAATTGAAATTTTATTTTGGCATAATTTGTAAAACTTCCCTTCATCGTGGAGAGTATAACACATGCCTCCCATTGCCCCCCTCCACCAGGCTCCCGGCCCCCTCCTGCACTGTTGTCTGTGATCTTGGGCAGTGCATACTTCCATGCCTCTGCCTCTATTTAGTTCGTCAGTTTATTTTGTTCTGTTATATTGTAAAGCAGAAGACGCCTTAATAAGCCAACTTTATTTGAAGTCTTTTTCATTTCGCCAGCGCTAGAGGGCCCAGAGGAAATACCACTTCTCAAATTCTGGGGCCCAATATGGTGGAAGTCTTCCTTATTTATACTTTTTTCAGCTCTTTGTCTTCCAAATTTGGAATGAGACTTCCCGACCTTCTGAGAAAAAGACCGTCTGAGAAAAAGACCGTCTGAGAAAAAGACCGTCTGAGAAAAAGACCTTCTGAGAAAAAGACCTTCTGAGAAAAAGTCCTGTGTGCTGGGACAGGGCCGTGAGACCATGTCTCAAGGCTGGCGCCTGCACTGACAACTGTGTCTGGGACATAGTTTATGGCCTCTCTGGAATGGGAGTAGTCTTAGTTTTCCCTATTTTT